TTCCTAGAAATATACCAAAGAAGATTTGAATTATTTTTTTGACATTTAGATAAGACATTTGACTTATCACCTTATCACTCACCCAAATTCATTTCACAAGAACCAGTTTTCAGATGCCAAAAACACGTGATCCTATTGGGTTTCCTTTTCTCCTGGAGAAACTGTGGGTTGTATCTGAGTCACACATTTTACTGCGTCTTCCCTGGCATGAGATTCATATACACTGGCATCTTCTCAGAGTGAAGTTGACTCCCTCTCATTCCTTATTCCAGAATTTCAGTTGGCATATGGTGATTCCAAAATGGTTCAAGGCTCATTTTAAATGGCTTTGGCAATCTCCGCCCAGCCAGGTTCACTCTGAGAGGTCCCCTGTCCCGTCATGAATGGCAGCAGAAACTTTTGCTCTCCGCTCTGCGTTCTAATAGCACCTCTTGCATGGACTAAGCCCAGGCAATGCTTTGAAATACGTGTCCATACCTTGTGGCTTTTCTTGCTGCAGTTTCTGTTCTATTTTTTTATTGTAGGATCGGGAGACTCACCGCTAGAAGACGATGAAGTCGGGTATTCACACGCTAGATATAAAGGTGAATGCTTTGCTTATGTGCTAATGATGATCCGCTGATGCCAGGAGAACTTTCCATTTTGCCCTGTGGAGTAGACTGTAATAAAGTGACCAGACGATGTGTTTAAGTTCTAATTCACTGTCCAAGGGGAAAAAATTAAAAATAAGCGCACATGTGCTCCCATTAAAAAAGAAAAAAAAAATGCCAAATAAAGAGAACAAAAAAGCGCATTTGGAAATCTCCTATGTATTACCCATCAGTACCTAATGGTCATTTTATTCTCCTAAGTTTCTTTACTGTCCTCACTCTGCAAAGGCAAGCTCTAGCTGACAAAAGTGAAAATCAAGCCCTGAGTTCTGCCTGATTCATACATTACAGCCAGAATCATCCAGAGTAAACCCTCCAAGGTCAAGTCTGGACCCAGTGCTGCTAATGTACTGAGCTGAATGGGGAATGAGAAAACTTGATTTTCATAAGCTCCTTTCATCATGCTCTTTCTGAGCCCAGCATGGCTCCTAAAATGATAAGTAAAGTGTGTCACTCAAATGAGACTTAATGATAAAGGCCTCCATCTCTATACATTTCCAACAATCCACCCCCAGCAGGTATAAAAAGCCTAATCAAGACCCTTCTATGCAGGCTCAGGTAAGTATGTTCACAAATATTTCTACTGATGAAACATTGCTCTTAGACCTGGAGAGCCCTGGGGAAAATAAAGGTAAATTTAGATTCTCTCTCTTTCTCTCTCTCTCTGAAACTGGTTCCTCTTACCTCTTACAGTGGAGGGAGAATTTGAAGAAAATTGGTTAATAAAGTTATATTGTGGCATTTTTCCCAGGAAATTTGTCCCCATTTTTGCAAAAGGACCCTGCCCTTCTCTGTTGTGATATGTCTGAGACATAGGAGAGCCAGGGCAGTATGGTCAGCCTAAAGAGCATCCTTCAGGAAAATAACTTCTGTTATTTTCCACAGAAGTGAGCAATCTTTCTAAATATTGCCTATGTGCAGGAATGCTGCCCACTGTAACCATGTTTCCTTAGACTTCTGAATGCAGAAGTTGTTCCTATTTGTAGCTCCTATCTTCATAGCTTCTGGAATTAACCAGTCAAGTACAAATATGTCAATCAGATATGTGGGGTAAGGAGATGCTCTGCTTCATACAACTTTTTAAAAATTCAGGGTTTTTAAAATAAAACTTTTTTTGAATTGCTTGTTGAAAAATCTTCCTACAATACACACAGTGAACCTTCACATATACAAAACAGGTTAACTATAACCTCAGATCATTGTTCCCAGTATCCACCCTAACTTTATAGCATTGCAAAGTGGAAGGTAGACCACATAGCTAGCATATGTCCCTGTCCTAGAGCCTGCCCTCTGTATGTTAGGAATAAATCCTTTTTGAGAAACTGTTTCCATTTTCAGTAAAATTGTTTATCTGTAGTGATCATTTCACTATGTATATGTACATCAAAAAATCATGGTGTACACTTTAAATTTATACAATAAAATCTTTACATTTTTTTTCAGTGCTGGGGATGGAACCCTGGGTCTCATGAATGCTAAGCAAACACTCTACTACTGAGCTACACCCCCAACCCTTAAAGTCTTCTAGTTTTAAAAGTTAGAGATGGCGTGGCGGAAGGCACATGCCTAAAATTCCAGCACTTGAGAGCCTGAAGTAAGAGAATTGCAAGTTCAAGGCCAGTTTGGGCATATTAGCAAAATAAGAAAATCAAAAGGGCTGGGATGTAGCTCAGTAGTAGAGCACCCTGGGTTCAATCCCCAGAACTGTTAAAAAAAAAATAGATGTGAACCTTTATTAGCTCTAGACTCTCAGGTCCCTGCACAGTGCCTGGCACAGAGTATATGCTCAGTAAGTGTTTTCAAGTTAAATTAAAGTAAAAGAAGAAAGAAAGAGAAATTTAACTGCCACTTATTGGGTTCCCAGTATGTGGCAAACATCACTTTTGATTCTTTTTTAAAAAAAAATATTTATTTTTTAGTTTTAGGTGGACAAATATCTTTATTTTACATTTATGTGGTGCTGGGGATCAAACCAAGTGCCCTGTGCATGCTAGGCAAGAGCTCTATCACTGAGCCACAACCCCAGCCCACTTTTGATTCTTTTACTTGAAATCTCATCATATATTCATACTAATTGAGGGAAGGGGGAGGTATGTAGATATGTCAGTATTATCCCATTTACAGATGAAGAACCAAGGACATAGAGAGTGGGTGACTTGTCAGAGTCACACAGCTAGCCAACATTACACTTGGGTCTGAAAAGGTGTTTTGGTTCACAGCCAGAGTCAGCTAGTAGCTCATTAGACTGCTACATGACATTGCCTACCTCCTGAACTCCATTTAGCTAGAGTGCTTTCTTTCCACATTGGCCCAGGGGGTTGAAAAGGCTTTCTAGAATAATCGATTTATATTCTACTTAGTAAACCCCATCTTAACTAAAGCAGCACAAGAGCTTTCTTTTTCTAAACCTCTGTGTTGAACATTTTGTTAATTCCCATTAATTCATGCTGCTTGCAGGCACTTTGAATTCAAGTCATTCACTGACATTTTAATTACTATCACTGCAGAGCTGTTGAACTGTCAAAATATCTTCCAAAGATTTGTCTTGGAAAGTAACCCAAAAGAAATTTCTTTTGCAAATAAATGAAAACAAGATTCCCTGCCCGGCCCCCACCATGTTGACAACACTACAGCTTTCTTGGCCAGCGCTGCTAGGAGAATTTGAAGACTCAGAATAGGAGGCAAAATTGGCTAATTGCATGTGAATTTGTGATGTGTGTATATGCTGCTTATATTTGCATGTATCACAGATATATGTAGTACATATACAGACTATATGCATAAAACCCTTAGAGGAAGGAAACTGTTTAAGGAAGTCTGCAGAACTGGTGTGAGCTTCCTCGAGTTTATATCCACATGAATTTAATCAGCTCTCAGGGCAAGCTGTCAGAATATCACTTTAAATCAGAAAATCCAGGGAATATTACTCAAGTCCTGAGCTTAGGACCTTCTTGAAAACTGTCTGCAAAACATTATATGATAAAAGTATTAGTCAAAGGAAATATGAAAGCACAAACGTTAAAAAGTGATGCATGCCTAAGACCTAGACAGGACCTTTTTTTTTAAATATTTATTTTTAGGTGTAGATGGACTTATTTCTTTTGTTGATTTTTTTGTAGTTGTACACAATAACTTTATTTTTCATTTATTTATTTTTATGTGGTGCTGAGGATCAAATCCCAGGCCTTGCATGTGCAAGGCGAGCACTCTACCGCTGAGCCACAACCCCAGCCCCAACAATGGCTTTATTTCTATAAGGTGTTGAAGTCCCGCCCGTGCTAGGCAAGCGATCTAACGCTAAGCATAATCCGGGCCCTAGACAAGACCTTTGTTTTTTGTGGCTGACAAGCGGTGACAAGCTCAGTAAAATCCTGGGAAGGTGAACTGCGGCCTATCCTCCTTCCTGGCCACACGATGGCAGACTTACCCCACTCACTGACAGCTCAGGTGCTGTGGCAGTGGGACAAGACAAGCGCTGTACGGTAGGGGCTCTTGTTCACATTCAATGTGTCTGGCAGAGTTAAGGGAGATTGTCACAGGCCCCTATGGATTGTGGGAACTTCTGCACCAAGAAGCTAGTCTTGCCCTTGTGTTTAATGGCTTTCAAAGAGCCAAGGGACAAGTTCTGATTTATTAGTGTCATTCTAGGTGTGCTCTGGGCAACAATAAGACTGAAATCAAAACACCCTGCAACTTTGCCATCTGGAAAAGTGTCACTGTCTTACCTAAATGGGGCATAATTAGGGACATCTGAAAAGGGAAGTTGCTTCCCTATGAGGAGCAATTGTTCTGTGGCTTGAAGCCAAAATTATATGCTGTTGCAAACACCTGGAAATTGTAACTTAAATCAAATTAACAGAAAACATTGTATGTGATTTTTTTATAGTGATATGTATATTACTGACACCCTCACATACACTATGGCTAGGGTTAGAGTTCACAATCATATCAATGGACCCTGAAGAGATTTATGTTTCCAGTTAAGGGAAATACTAGAAAGACAAAGCATTTATTGAACATTTACTATGTGCTAGGCACTGTGGTCAGTGATGAACAGACATTTTTTAAATTTAGTCCTTCTAACAGCCCTATTGGCTATAGGCATAGGTTAGAGAGGTAGGGTAACTTGTCCAAGATCACACAGCTAGGTTTTAAGGAACTTGGAATCACATTCAGCTCTGTCTGACCCCTAGATCATACTCTCCTTGTCCAGAGACATCCACAGTAACTGGGTGCTACTGGAGGTCCAACATTTGGAATGTAAACAGGTTGGGACTGCAGGAGTGAGAGGATGCGTTTTCTGAATATGTTACTTCCTATTTTCCCCTCCTTTGTTTCTGCTACCTGTAGACACTCCTTGGTGCTCCCCCATCAAGGTGAAGTACGGGGATGTGTACTGCAGAGCCCCTCAAGGAGGATACTACAAAACAGCCCTGGGAACCAGGTGTGACATTCGCTGTCAGAAGGGATATGAGCTACATGGCTCTTCCCAGCTCATCTGCCAGTCAAACAAGCGGTGGTCCGACAAGGTCATCTGCAAACGTGAGTAACCCAGTCCTGTGCCTGGTCCTCAGGGACAATCAGAGTCAGAAGTTTTTTTTGTCTGAGATAAGGGCTTTTCAATGAATGTTGATGAGCAAAGCTCCCCTTGTGAGTGGCAGCCAGTGGGTTTCTAAGACATGCTGGACTTGACAGGGCTCCTTTCAGAAAGGGTGCTGTCTGGGGAAAGGACAGAAGAGAGTGTGGCAAATAGTTGATGTTTGTTCAGTAAATTCTGGGTCCTAAAGAGATGTTGGGATTGAGAAAAAAAATGACACACAGAGGCTAAGAAAGCTGTTTGTGGTACAGCATTGTTGAGGCACATTTTAGATGCCCTGGTTACTCAAAGCAGCCACCACTTACTGAACACGTAGTGTTTGCCTAGCATTTCACAAACATTCAAATTTTGCAATGATCCCTAGAAACAAGGGTGCCAGTCTTTGTTGGGGAAACTGATACTCAGGGCTGCAGCCAGTTGATCCAGGCCATGCAGATTATGCAACTGGGTGACTGCAGTGGACACTTACCAATGTTTCACCCAAATCTCCCCAGTGCGTTTTTACCAGGCTGGTTCACCTGTTCCCCAACTTCTGAGCACCTTGCCCTTAAAGATTTGCTCAGAACCAAGAGCAGTGGTGCACGCCTATAATCCCAGCAGCTTGGGAGGCTGAGGCAGCAGGATCATGAGTTCAAAGCCAGGCTTAGCAAAAACGAGGTGCTAAGCAACTCAATGAGACCCTATCTCTAAATAAAATACATAATAGGGCTGGGGATGTGGCTCAGTGGTCGAGTGCCCCTGAGTTCGATCTCTGGAACTCCCCGCAAAAAAAAAAAAAAGATTTGCTCGGTCCACCTTGTTGCTCTTTCAGAGGACTCCTCTCTGTTTTTTCTTACAAGGGAAAGCATCCCCCACAGGCAGAGAGCTGTGCAATGTCTGAGTGGTAAAGGATTAACAAAGGCCAGCCTCCTTGCCTGGAGTCAGACAGGCTCAGAGCTATCAATCACCCTGCAGGCTGATATTGACTATGCTGGGGATCACCCCCTGCTTGGCTTCCTCCCCTTCCCTGTCCTGCTTTCCCCTTCTCTTCACCGGTCTCCCCTGGGAGCACTTTCTTACTAAGCCACTCACAGTCAAATCCTCGTCTGAGACTTTTCTGGGAAATAGCCTCTGACAGTGGCTTGGCTGAGATGCCAACCTAAGCCAGTCTGGCCTGAAACTTTGTATCTCTTCTGTGTGACATATAGCCAGCCATTGCTTCTCTACTTCCATCTGTTCCATTTCAATGAACTTTTCAATGTATGCTTATAAAAGTTTCTGGATTCTGAAACACTATGGACAAAAATGAAAAAATACTGAAGATCTGATTTTCCTTTTCAGAAAAGCGATGCCCTACCCTTGCTATGCCAGCAAATGGAGGGTTTAAGTGTGTTGATGGTGCCTACTTTAACTCCCGGTGTGAGTACTATTGTTCACCAGGATACACATTGAAAGGGGAACGGACAGTCACATGTATGGACAACAAGGCCTGGAGCGGCCGGCCAGCCTCCTGTGTGGGTAAGAAAATTCCATAGTCCCCAGGAAACACATGCTTGGGGAGGAGCAGAGGGTGTTCAGATAGTGGATTTTAAAGGCAGCATCAATATTGCATGAGTGAAGTGTAAGCACCAACTTTGCTTAGTAGCTTTCTTTATCCCTGGCTTGCTCGCCTTAGACTTAACCCTGGTCTCTGTCTTAAGACTGACTTCAAGACTGATGGCTTCCATGTGACTTTTGTCTCTTTTCTGGCTGGCTATTCAGGCAGCTACTGGCGAGCAGAGGTGTGGTACACTCCTACCAAGATAGTCCAGGGTCCTATAGCATTGAGCAGAGTTTCCAGGGACAGTCATAAACATTTACAGAGATAGTCCTGCAGAGAGCATGTCCTGAAATGCAAATTCTCACACCCCCTTTATCTGCTGAATTGAAAAATCTGGGGCACTGAAGTTTTTTGAAGTTCCTTCAAGTGGATGAGAACCACTGTTCCAGGGGATCATTTACAGAGATGAAATGATTAGCTTATGAAAGTTTCAACCTAATCAGTGGATTAATCCACTGATATGGATTAACTGGACAGTAACTGTAGGCAGGTAAGGTGTGGCTGGAGGAAGTAGGTCACTGGGGGTGTGCCTTTTGGGGTTATGTTTTGTTCTTGGTGAGTGAAGCTTTCTTTCTGCTTACTGGTTGCCATGTCCTAAGCTACATTCCTCCACCAGACTTTCTGCCATGATGTTCTGCCTCATCTCAGGCATAGAGCTATGGAGTCCACTGACCATGGACTGAACATCTGAAACCATGAGCCAAAATAAACTTTTTCTCCTCTGCGTTTTTCTTGCTGAGTCTTTTGGTCACAGCTTCGAAAAAGCTAACTAAAACATAAACCCTGAGAGCTACCAGGAACTCCCTTAGAGAACATTCTCATTCCATTCCCCATTCTACAGATGAGGCCTGAGAGATGGATTGACTTGCTTGAGGTCACACAGATCCCAGCCTGGGACTACATCTCCAGGCTCTCAGGCCTAAAGTCCCTGAATCCAGAGATAGCTCAGGTCCTAAGACCAGATAGATCTGACCTAAAGGATCAGAGTGAGGGAGGAGGGGTGGGCAAATCAGCTGGCCTTAGAAGCCTGGCTCCTGGGTACTTTGTGTTTGCTTGTTGTCCAAAGAACAGTTTAGTTCAGTCTGCTAATGTGCTTTACCCCCAAAGACTCCTTCCTGACTACTCAGTGTCTGGGGCAGTTACTTCAACAGTAAGACCAAAATCTGATGTTATCCTCTAGGGGCCAGCATGAGACAACTTCCCTGGCCTGGCTTGGGTTGGCATCAGCCATTCTCACTCTGAAATTATGTGCAACCAAACTCTTCTATATCCAAGTCACAGCCTAGATTGTGTCTTGAATTCATTTGACAAAAGCAAAGAGTCCAAATAAAATATCTAATAAAAGTAGAAGGGAGATTGTTGAGAGCCACAGCTGGAAGTTTGCTGGGGCCCCTTCTGGCTGTGGCCCCCAGCAAACTTCCAGCTGCCAGCAAACTTCCAGCTGCCAGCTGATGATTGGCTCACAGCGGCCCCAGCAACTTCTAGCTGTGGCTCTCAACAGGAGATCTTAGGGTAAAGGAAGAGGATTAGGGCAAGTGAGGTATTTGGAAATGGAATTGATCAAATTATGTTATATGCATGTACAGATATGCCACAATGGAACCTACCAATCCGTGTAATTTATATATATATATATAT